ATTCCTTGACCCCATTGGAAATCCGATCCTTTTAATATATATCGATGAGCGCACGCCTTATATCATAAGTTTGTTAAATTAATATAATGTTTGCGATCAAAATTTATATAAATAACTCAATACATACCATAACATAACCTGAAAATTAAATTAATTCGACAATTAAAATAAATTCAATATAAATCAATAGAAGAAAGTGATTACCTCCCGGGCCCTGACTTTTGACGGTTACGCCTAACCATTGGTCATCTTTACTGATCCCTTCGTCGGGAGCTATAAAAATGAGTTTAAGAGTGAGAGGAATGTAATTTGAGAGGAAGAAAGTTCTCACGTTTATTATCTTCTTCTATCCTAATTTGTGTGCAATCGCTTCGGATTGTATTCAATGGACATTTAAATACTACTCCCGAGTGATTAGTCTGTGGCTGACCGCTCTGTGCTCGTGGAGCGCCCACAAGCATGCTATACACGTGAAGCAAAATACAAGTCAAATCACATTATTATATCATTCATTTAAATTATGATAGATTTATATGTAATGTACTGTGAATTAACGTATGTAATTAGAAATGTTAGTGGTAAAATTTAAGGCATGTTTAGAGCTAAATTTAGGGTCTTCTGAATCTTTAAGATAATTTTTCAACCATTCTACATTAGCGACATCTTTGTTGCACATATTTACTAAATAAATGGCTAATTTTTGTAATTTAAACTATTATCAACTACAAAAAAATATTTACATGCTAATTAGGATATTTTATTGTCGTAAATTGTCGATTTTTAAATATAATATTTTAAAAAGTAGTTTTTAAGTAAAATATTCTCAGAATACATAACAAGAATTTGGATGAATTTTTACTAAATTTAAAATATTAAGAAAACCAAATAACTTTTTAAAATTGTCTTAGATGACAAATCTTCCAATTAATATGCTGATTATATATTTCAGCTAATTAAAAGTATCTAACAAAAAAAACATAAAAATTTCACATTTCTATAAAAATTTAGGCTAAAGTTTCAAAATTTAGCCTAAATGTAAGATTCATTTAAATATTTCACTAAAATTTTAATCCCTATAAATAATGATTTAAAATGATTTTATAACCGTTTTCAGCAATAATTGAGTGTTAAAAACAGGAAAACAAATATTTAATATGCATTGAAATCATATTTTGGAAATAATATACCGTAACGTAGTTTTCAAACATAACAGTAATTATATTATAGTCATGTAAATTTATATTGTCCTACAATACAAATCAATCACGAAATGTTGATTTAATACCATAATAAAAGTGTGACTTATAATAATTTTTAGTATTTAAATAAATTTAAATGAATGGCTTTCAGAGAATATAAAATAACACTTTTCACATTTGGGAACCTTATAATGTTATTCACAACAACAATAGCAAAATACAGTATCCATAACCATATTAACATAATACACCAACTTCATTTAAATACTATCTCAATTTTGTGAACATATAAAGCAGCCAATTTAGGGTTGCATTCGTATTCATAGAGTACTCTATTTTCTATGTGTAATTTGATCGTAAAATTGATGTACGAGACCAACAAAAAGCAACATAAATCAATCCAAATGGCCTTTTATTGTAT